AGTACCTCAGTGATAAGTCTGAGGGCATATAAAGATAAAAATCGGGTTTCAGTACCCCCGGTGGGCAGAGCACAGATGGGCTGTTGGGTAGGTTTATGCCTAACGACAGGCCCGGCATGGCCAGGTGGTTAGGGCACTCGACTCGCAATCTGAGGGTCGAAGGTTCGAATCCCCGTCACACCAAACATGCTCGCCCTTTCAGCCGTGAGGGCGTTATAATGTGACGGTCAATCCCACTATTCGTTGGTAAAATAGTAGCCCAAGAGTTGGCGGTGGGTGGTGATGACTAGCTGTCTTCCCTCTAGTCTTACACTGCTAAATTAGGGACGGCTAGCGCAGATAGTCCTCGTGTAGCTTTGCGCGAAATTCAAAACAAACAAACAAACTCTGTAGATGCTAGTATACGTTTGCATACTTGATGAAAAGAGCGTTGTTTTTAGCAATTCACTTGAGACCGAAACAAGAATGATGAAATATATATATATATATATATATTTCATTACTGAAGTGATAGTTATTTGTTTTGTTTTAAAAATAAATTGTTAGATATTTCTGGTGTTTTATTTGGAAAAAAAAACTGTTAAAATATTTACACTATCTGTAACCATCGCCAAAAGTTATTTTAATCTATTAGATTACATAATTTAATTTAGTATTAACAGCAAAGTACGTTAGTATATTGTGTCGCATCTGGAGGAACGTGCGCTCGGCACGACGGCTTGTGATTGGTCAGAAATGGGCGGAGTGTTGTAAAACATAGCTTCTGTTGTCACAATTAATTGAGGTTTATTATTCCAAAAAAGAACGAAGTACGACGCGGATACGTACAAGAGTTTTATTTTTTATCACTGTCTCTAAACTTTTACGGAGACTGAGACTGTAGAAAAACCCAATTTGCTGACCAATGACCACTTCTCGATGTTGACATCGGCTATTGCTATAGTAATTGCGAGAGAGTTTAAGCAGTAAAATTGTATAAAAAGGTGTTAACGTTTTGTTATTATTGAGTTTACACACAAACAGAAACGTTTAGAGGTATGGGCATAATATTTATACGAATTATATATAATAACTATGGGCGCTTATGGGACTTTTCACTGATTCATTTCCGATGAAACTAACCCTATTGTCTAACTAATTATGTACATTTTAGTGTGATGTATTTTATAATATACACTTTATGCTTAATATTTTATATCTAATTATAGAAATATTGTAATGTTCTTCATTTTAGATTTATTCATAATATATATATATATATATATATATATATATATATACTGTAGTGTATTTATATAGTA